GCTGGGCTGGGGAATTCTGGGAGTTGAAGTCCATACCACTTAAAATTGCTGAGACAGAAAAAAAAATTGATTCTAGAGGACCAAAATCCCCCTGCAGCTATTGAAATCTCTTACCTTGCACCCAGACCAGGCATACTGGGTTGTAAGATTGATAACTTGATTGTTTTCCGGGCGGATAACTGATTCCTTCATCAGACAATCCTAAGGAGAAGACCAAAGAGAGCCCTAGAACAGTGACTCATGCAGAGGCATGACAGGCCCTGTTTGCCCCGAAGGCTCAGTCCTTCCAATGAATTTGGAATCAGAAGAACACAAAACAGGGTACAATTTCTCATTCAGTTGCTGCTCCCTTAGTGCAGCAAATCATGTCGTTGTCTCACAAAGAGCCTTTCGTTCCTCAATTTACTTATTTATAGTCGCACAATAGATCAGAAACTCATAATTTTGTAAGCAGTCTCCCTGTATGATGAGCCCTCGGAGGCGCCACAAAATCAGATTTTAATTCCTTTTAGGTCCCCATAATACTCTAGAGCTGATCTAAGAGATCGATCGTCTTCCAGATGACAGATTAACAGAGGTGGAAGGGAACTTGTAGGTCATCTAGTCCAACCCCCTGTCTAGGAAGGAGACCCCCTCTACACCATTTCTGACAAATGGCAGTCCAGTCTCTTCTTGAATTGTTCCTAAACTACCTACCCATCCAATAAGGCCAAGAGGAGGGGTGCTAAAATTGAATTTCAGGAGCATCTGGAAGATTTTAGGATCCTTTTCCTCTTACCTGTATAACCCACAGGAATAAGAGGAAGAAAATAGAAGATAGAATAATAAGGTTGGAAGGATCTCAGAGGTCTTCTAGTCTAACCCCCCGCCATGGCAGAAGATCCTATATACCATTCCAGACTTTCTTGGGCTTGATGGAATGGATACACGTGAACATAGAAAGAATAACAGAATAACAGAACTGGAAGAAACCAAGATTGCAACAGCTGCAATCAAGACAACAGTTAAATCAGGGGTCCCCAAACTTGGCAACTTTAAGACTTGTGGACTTCAACATCCAGAATTCCCCAGCCAGGAAAGCTGGCTGAGGAATTCTGGGCATTGAAGTCCACAAGTCTTAAAGTTGCCAAGTTTGAAGACCTCCGAGTTAGATAAAAGAAACCTGAGTCCAGGCCAGAACTGTAGCCTGAGAAAGACCTCACAAAGATAAAAGGAAGAAGTAGGAAGGCACATCCAGACTTGCAACATTCTGTTGCTATAACCATTTAATGGAAGTAGTGTGAGCTTGCGTAACTGTGGTTTTCTTAGTCTGGCTGACTTTTAGGAATGACGGTTCCCCTTTTCCTCCCCTAGAATACCATCCCATCAGGGCCATTATGAGATTCAGCTATTTGAAATGATCCAAAGCCCTGGCCCCAGAATGTAATGTGTAAGCAACAAGAGAAAGAAAGAGGAGAAGAAAATAAAAAGAACGAAGAAAGAGACAAGAAAGAGAAAGAGAAAAGAGAACGAGAAAGAAAGAAGACGAGAAGGAGAAAGAGAAAAGAGAACGAGAAAGAAAGAAAAAGAAGAAAAGAAAAACAAAAAACAAAAGGAAGGAGAAAAAAGAAGAAAAAGAGAATTCAAAGTTACAATGGCACTGAAAAAAATGACTTACTTTCAGTTTTCATACATACGACCGTTGCATGAAATGGTCACAGAGTTAAAATTTGGACACTTGGCAACTGGCATATAGTTATGAAAAGTTGCATGTGATTCCCCAGCCAAAGTCAATGGGGAAGCCAGATTCACTTAAAATCGTGTTACTAGTAACTTCAGCTATTCACTTAGCGACTGTGGGAAGAAGGGTCATTAAAACGGGGCAAAACTGACTTAACAAATGTCTCTGTCAACTCATAAAATATTTCTCTGGTCTTTTTAGAGTTGCCAACAGAAAAGGAGGAGAGGGAGCAGTGTAGCAGTTTGCAAAACCGAAAATGCATTCCATAAATGTTTTCAAAGATAGCAACTAGGTGACTGAAGTTTCTGCCGTGCAAAATTCTAACTGGAGAACATGATTGATGACTCTTGGCTATGGATGTGTCCCATTGGAGAATATGAATTACAATACACCCAGGGGGTGGGGAAAACCAGGATCAAGGGTGACAGTGAATGATGTGTCTCAGAGTCAGCTACACCCAGGCACTGCTGGACATGTTAACTCCCAATAAATCCTTTTGAAGTTTTGGCAGTTTGGCTCGAGAGTCATGATTTAATTGAGGCAATTGCTGGAATCCTGACAATAGCAGCGCTTCAGTTACACAGTAACTCCCCTGCAAATGAGCAATCCAACTGAAGATCAACGTCAGGCCATAATTGGCATGGCAGAACTAATTTATCTCAAGAAATAAAAATTTAAAAGGAGAAGAAGGAGGAGAAAAAAGTAGAATCCATCTGGTGTGCAATGATCAATAAAAACTGACCTTATTTCCCTTTTCGTAAACAGCCGGCCACTGAGAAGGATCATCAAAATACAGAAGGATGTTCTCACAACATTTGTTCTTCAAAGAGAAGAAGAGAACAAGAGAGTGTTATGTTGACAGCAACACTATTTCCTAATTGCAAACTTATCCGGGACGAGGGAGAAATTTCGTAGGCTGGAAATGATTGCAAGGTATTCCTAAAATGCACCACGTAATGTTGAAAGATACCTCTGGGTAGCGGAACTGGAAATCCAGGCGTCCATAGTCGGAAAAAAAGCAGAATCTAGTCAAAAAGACCCAATCCTGGAAAAAAAAAAGGAGAAAACAACAACAACAACATGTCAGTTTTGATGTAGCTCAGTATTTTATTAGCGTTTCTCAATCTCAGCCATTGGAAGTTGTGCGGACTTCCGCTCCCAGAAGTCCCTAGGCAGCAGAATTCTGGAAGCTGAAGATCGCAGATCTTAAAATGGCAGAGACTGACAAACACTGGTCTATACAGGTCTTCTGCTGTCACGACCTAAGTCTAAGATTGAAACTCAGGCTTGTTAGATGCTCCATTTTTTTCTATCCTGCTCCAACAGAGTGGAGAGTTGGTCTCTGGACAGAAAGCCACTAAAAGAGACTGGAAGCAATTTGAAATATGGATTTGCAGGCGGCTGTTACCAGGGGTGGGATTCAAAAAATCCCAGCAACCAGTTCGCCGCCCAGTTGCTGAGTGGATGTGGCCTACCGGAACTTCCAAGAGGGCAATGTTTTGCCTTTGGGAGAGCAAAAATGGCCTCCCCCAGGCTCTGGAGGCCCTCCGGAAGCTGGAAACAGGCCCGTTTCTGGATTTCCAGGAGGGCTGTTTTTTCCTTTCCCAGAGCCTCCGTGCGAATCCTGAACTTACCTGCATTGAAAATGGGCTGCGTGGAGACTCCTGGGAGTGGGCGGGGCAGGGTGGGTGGGGCCAGCTAGTCGGTTCAAATACCGATGCAGATTTAACATCCGGTTCGCTCAAACCGAATCGATAGAATCCCACCCCTGGCTGTTACATAGAAGTTGGGTTAATAAAATCAGAAACGAGGAGGGGAATCAGCCGCCTGGTAAAGCCAAGGGAAACCATCAAAACTATAAAAAAGGAAAAAAATTAGAATATTTTGGACATGGGATGCGACACCCGGAAAAATACGGCATCCTTCACTAAATCCTCCGGGGAAAGATGGAAGGCGAATGAGGTCCAGGCAGAAGAAGAACATCAGGGCTTCAAAATTGAAGGGACTGGTTTTGGACAAAACTCAGCGGCACTTTTTTTGTGCGGCTGTTGATCAAAATAGGATTGCCAACAGGATGATGGATACGGCTCAAAAAGAAGTAGGTCCAGGGGTGGGATTCTACCAATTCGCACCTATTCGCGAGAACCGGTTATTAACATTCTAAGCAGTTCAGAGAACCGGTTGTTAGAAGAAATTACTGGCCTAATCCTGTAAGGAAGGCAGGAAGGAAACATTCTGGTGTTGCTTACAGAAACTGCCTTTCGGTTAACCTTTATTACATTCTTGGCAGGACTAGACTTCCTGTCTCAGGAACTTCTCTGGAGTTTTTTTCCCTTCCTTTGCTGGTACTTTGCTTGTGTTGAGTGACCATTCAAAGTTACAATGGCACTGAAAAAAGTGACTTATGACCATTTTTCACACTTACGAGTGTTTCAGCATCCCCACAGTCATGAGAGGCCAGGAGAGGAGATGTGTGCCTCGATGTGAGTGATATTGAGTTGGACACATCCAGCCAATAACACGACCACCAAGCCATGTCCACCCAGTCACATGACCGCCATGCCACACCTACCACCTAAGCCACTCCCACAGAACCGGTCGTTAAAAAATTTGAATCCCACCCGAGTAGGTCTATACAGAGGATATAAGTAGTCCTTGACTTACAACAGTTCATTTACTCACCATTCAAAGTTACAACGGCATTGGAAAAAAGTGGATTTACAACCATTTTTCACACTTACAACCATTGCAGTATCCCCGTAGTCAGATGCTTGGCAACTGACTCATATTTATGAGGGCCGCAGTGTCCCGAGGGGTCATGCGATCCCGTTTTGGGGACCTTCTTACAAGCAAAACCAATGGGGAAGCCAGAGTCATTTAACAACCATGTTACTAACTTTAAAATTGCAGTGATTCACTTAACAATTGTGGCACAAAAGGTTGTGATGGCACCCAATTCACTTAACAAATGTTTCACTTAGCAATAAAAGTGTCGATGCGGCTGTAAGTCGAGGGCTACCTGTACTACAGGAGAAACCAAAGAACAAGGTAAGAACTTTTTGTCCTCAAAGGTGGTTTTTCTTTTTGGTAGCAGGGTGAAGCATAACAGGCTGGAAGGGACCTTGGAGGTCTTCTAGTCCAACCCACTGTACCTTTGAAGGTGAATTATTAGAGGTTGTGAAAGATCTATTGCCAGCCACAACTTGTGCCTGTGAGCAAGTCACTCTGGGGAGTTTTCAAGCAAGCTCTTAAATTGTAGAGATTTAGCTGCAGGTGTGTGAAAAGGAGTTAGCTATGTGGTACCAACAGGGAACCACCGATTAATGCCCATTGTTTTCTTAATTAAGTATCATAAAACCAACCACAACACAGATCAATTGAACACAGAACCTCATTTTTAGAAATGAACATCAGCATTCCAGAATCCCATTTTGTTTCAGCTTGCAAGCAGTTGCTATCTCACAATCCCCAAACTACCTAATTATGAAGCCTGCAAGCACATTTAAACTATGCGTAAATAATTTCACTTTATAGCAGTCTCTGGCCAAATTTTGAGAATATTCCTGTACAATGCAATGCAGGTTCCTCCCCCCTCCTTTTTTTTTTTTTTGCAATGTACTCTGTACTCACATTCATCAATAGAAAAAGAAGGAAACAATAGTAAATAAATAAACTCACAATCCATTCTGTCCTTCAGTTGCTGTTCTTTTTCAGTGCTGAGCTAATTAACTACATGACAAGCCAAGCATTTATTCTGGATTCTTTCTTACCGACTGGAAGGGACCAGCCGTATTCTAGCTTTTTAGCATGCAGAATCTTTAAATTGTATACGTGTACACACACACACACACACACACACACACACAGAGAGAGAGAGAGAGAGAGAGAGAGAGAGAGAGACGAGAACCTGATTACCCTATTCTGAAGGATATAGTGAGGGAATTATGTTCTTACAGTAATCAATAGCAGGACAATGGTGAGAAAAATAAGGTTCTAGATTTAGGCAAGAAAAAACAATTGCACAAGTGTAAAACAGATGGTACCTGGCCCAACAGCAGGAACTGCAAAAGCGCTCTTGGAATCTTAGTGGACAACCACTTAAATATGAGCCAACAGAATAAAAGAAATAGTGGAAGATCAGATAGAGTTTAAACCAGAATTGTTCTTATTGGGAATAATTAAAAGGAAATCTACAGAAAAGATTATATATATATATTCTATTACATATATTGACAGCAATGAGAATAGCATCCGCACAATGTTGGAAACAAAACAACACACCCTCAGAGGAATTAGTCATTCAAAAAAATTTTTAGATTGTGCTGAAATGGACAAACTTACGCTAAAATTAAAGGATAAAGAAGAGTTGGAGTATTATGAAGTTTGGGACAATTGGTATAAGTGGTTAAACAATAGAAATAAGGATAACGGAGAAGAAAATTATAGATAACTGTATATGGATGCATATAAATGTATATGTGTATATGAGATTGATATATGTAATAATGATGTCACGGTACCGTTAATAATAAGATTAAGATTTATTTTTAAAAAAACATGAGCCCGCAGTGTGATGCAGCTGTCAAAAAAGCCAATGCAGTCCCCAGGCTGCATTAACAGTGGGATAGAATCAAGATCACATCAATGGTTAATATTATTTGATAATACCTGAATAGGGCCATACTTGGAATACTGCATCCAGTTTTAGTCGCCACGATATAAAAAAAGATATTGAGACTCGGGAAAATGCCGAAAAGAGCAACAAAGATAATTAGAGGCCTGGAGGCTAGTTGCAGGAGGATCTAGGTATGTCTGGTCTAATGAAGACAACAACCAGCATGATATGTATCTCCCAATATTTGAGGGACTGTCATAGAAAAGAGGGGATCAACCGATCCTCCAAGGTACCAGGCCAGAAGCAATGGATGGAAACTAATCAAGGAGAAAAGCAAATCTAAAATTAATTAGGGAGTGAAAATAATCAGTGGAATAGGTCATCTCCAGAATTTTAAGAAGAGATTAGACAATCATATGTCTGAAATGGTATAGGGTCTCCTGACTGAGAAGGGGGTTGGACTAGAAGATCTTCAAGATCCCTTTCAAGCTCTGCTATTCTGTTAAGTCCCGTGATGGGACTTAAGTCCCGTTCAACAGCCAGAAATGGCCCGTGCTGTTGCAAAAGGCTTGGGAATAATTCACTTCTGGGATCTGGGTCAGAAATACTTTGGGCCGATCAAGCCAAGGAAGAAAAGATACAGAAACAGCCAACAGACTTAATGGAGAGGGCTCTGCAAACGCTTGCTTATCTGCGCATATGAATATCCATATTTATCAAAGCGAGGAGCTTTCAATGCAGTGGAAGAAATGGGGTTTTTGAAGAAGCTAGCCCCTTTCCCATTGTTTCTTTTCCGTCCAATTCTCAACCCCATTTTCTTGCTCTGGAAAGAAAAAGAAGAAGAAGAAGAAAAAGGGGGGGGGGGAAATCCCACGTTCCCATGGCAACAGCCCATGCTCATGGTTTCCACGGAAACCGTACCAGAGGCTGAAGTAGGCAGAGGAAACAAGCTAAAATCTGGGGCAAATGTTTGGGGAAGAATTATGGGTTTTGGGGGGGCACCTGCTCATGCGTTCTCCCCGGGGGAACAGGCCGAATGTTAAGAGATCCACTGAGATGGTGGTTTTTCTCTCCCTAAAACCCCGCCACAAATTAAAAGGCTGCCGGAACTTCAGCCAAAAAAAAACATTAAAGTGAGGCCTGCTAGAATCCAAAGGATTAGCAGCCAGGCTCCTAGAAAGGCAATAATAGATTTTTTGGGGAGGAAACAGAAGCTCCTTCTCTGATTGCAGCTCCAAATTTGCAAAGAAATTGCCGGTTGTATATTTTTTTTTACTGGCCTATTAATAGTTGTTTTGCAGATCGCCATTATCCTATCAGTCAATTCATTACAGGATGTGTGGGTCGTAGAACAGAGAATATCAGAGTTGAGAGGGACCTTGGAGGTCTTCTAGTCCAACCCCCTGCTTATGCAAGAAACTCAGTTCCGACAAATAGTTATCCAACCTCTTCTTAAAAACCTCCAGTGTTGGAGCATTTACAACTGCTGGAGGTAAGTTGTACCGCTGATTTCATTGTCAGAAATTTTTTCCTTAGTTCTAGACTGTTTTTCTCCTTGATTCATTTCCACCCATTGTTTCTTGTCCTGCCTTCTGGTGCTTTGGAGAATAGGTTCACCCCCTCTTCTTTGGGGCAGCCCCTGAGATATTGGAAAACTTCTTGATCATGTCACCCCTAATCCTTCTTTTTACTAGACTAGACATGTCCGATTCCTGCCTTTTCTTTTGCACTTCTTCCTATAGCACGCATCTCTGCTCTGTCCTGTGAAAATAGGCCTCACTCCTTCTTCAACCCTTGTTATTTACCATTACTACGACATAGGGCAGAATGAAGTGACACAGATGCCACAGTCTTCCAGAGAGCAGTTTAGTGAAACTACCCGAAGCATTGATTATGATACGCCCACGTGCACAAAGATTAAGTGTTTTCACGTGTTGCCTTTTGAAGTCACGGTTTTTCTACCTAGGTCGCGTTCGTCTGTCAACCTGCTCAAAACATATATCAGTAGATGCCAGTTACCTGCATAGCCCAGAAGCCTATTATAAATCAGAATTTATTAACATCTATACCACTCTGTAATGCCTTGGTAAGAGCCACATTTGGAATAGTGCATCTTGTTTTGGTCGCCACGATGTAAAAAAAAGATGTTGAGACTCTTGAAAGAGTGCAAAGAAGAGCAACAGTGATGATTAGGGGACTGGAGGCTAAAACATATGAAGAACGAATGCAGGAACTGGGCACGGCTAGTCTAATGAAAAGAAGGAACATGGGTGACATGATAGCAGTGTTCCAATATTTGAGGGGCTGCCCCAAAGAAGAGGGAGTCAAGCTCTTCTACAAAGCACCTTAAAGGCAGGACAAGAAGCAATGGATGGAAACTAATCAAAGAGAGAAGCAACCTAGAACGAAGGAGAAATTTAATGACAGGAAGAACAATTAATCCGTACAACAGTTTGCCTCCAGAAATTGTGGATGCTCCAACAATGGAGGCTTTTAAAAAGAGATTTGTCTGGAATGGTATAGGGTATCCTGCCTGAGCAGACTAGAAGACCTCCAAGGTCCCTTTCCAACTCTGTTTTTCTGTTAATGTTTCTAGGTAGATAATGAACAGGGATTAAAATAGGACAACTAATCCCCAAATCTGCCTTGGATTCAGTAAGGAAGTCAGCTTAAGTCCCCTAATTCACAACTTCATTCCATTTGCTATTTCCTGGACCAGTAATATGCTAGCTAGCAGACAAATAAACTCCCAACTCTACCCAATAACACTTCTATAATATAAAAATAATAATAGAGTCCTCTCCTGGTAATTGAAAGATGGAATAGAGAATTAGCTTTGGTGTGCAAGATCTGCATCATGCAATCTTTTTAATAAAATTTGCCGTTTGGAAAAACAGTAGCGATCAGACGCCTTCTGATTTTAGGGAAAAGTGGGGGAAACTATATGGCAGGACAATTTCAATACAGCTATCTACCTGTTTGGTACAAAGCTCCATGATAGCCCCCAAAGGACAGAAGGACAAAACTTTTCATAATTTCTCACTGACAGAGCTGAGGGTCATGCTGTCTAATGGTTACAGTCCTGGAAGGTGTTACGTGGGGGAAAACCGGGGGAAAGTTTGAGGGTAGAACAATGGAAGCCCTGTCCTGATGGATTAACACGCCCCATGCTTCATATCGGGTCTTAACTGACACGAAACAGAAAGGGGTCTGGGTGTGACATCCTGTTTATCGATATATTACATAGAGATAAAAAACAACTATAGCTCATTCAAAGTAGACAAGCCAAAAGCCCAAAAGGAAATGTGAAAAGACACCTGCTCACCAGCCATCAATACCCAGATGAGCAGAGATAAACATTTACACTAGACCAGCAATCCAGAAACAAGCAATACCCCAATCAAGAGACCACCAGCTCAGACAAACGAGTCAACAATAAAGAGCAACCCAATCAAGAAGCCACTGAGACGACGCCTACCAACATTGACGGGGCAAGTTATAAAACGAGAGTAAACCCTACCCGCTTCTAACACTGATGATGTTACCTGGCTGGATCATAAGATGTCTGCGAGTAATCAACCAAGCTCAGAGAACACAAGGACCTCTCAGTCCCAGTCCTCCTCCTCCTCCTCCTCCCAAACCCTCCTCCCTTCTAATACTGATGAAGTTATCTAGTTTGCTAATGAAACGTCTGGAAGGAAACAACCAAGTTCAGAGAAGACCCCACTTTCCTCCTCCTCCTCTCTCAGTCCCTTCTAGGATTGATGATACTTAGTTGGGTAATGAAACATCTGCAAAAAAAAACCAAAAAACAAAAAACTCCAACCCAACCAAGCTCAGAGAGCACCAAGGACCCTGCTACCTATTATTGCTGCAGGCTCCTCTGGTTTTCATTGCCCATCCTCGCCTGTTTGGAGGTATGTAAGTGCCCTTACGCGCTCCTGCCAATTCGGAATTAACGTTTCGTACATTTAATGAAGTGAAAGCCTCCTCTATGAAGTCAGCCTCCATAATGATCAACGTGTCCTTAAAATATCCCGACCCTTCGGCGGTTCTCCAGTTCAGAAGGAAGGCATCTTTCTCTATAAAATTGTTTGCAACCTCATCCTTTCCCATCAGACAAAAGCACCTTGGCACACACCTGGGTCAGGTGAATTCATTTAGGAAAAAGCAGAGAGTGCCCTCCATGCACACACACACACATGTTTATGTGTGTGTGTATATATATAAATGTTTATGTGTGTATGTATATATAAACAGCATACTCTGTGTGTGTGTGTGTGTGTGTGTGTGAGTGTGTGTGTGTGTGTGTGTATATATATATATATATATATATATATATATATATATATATGGGTGTGTGTGTGTGTGCATCTGTGTATGTACACATGTATATATAAACAGCATATTCTCTATGTGTGTGTGTATACACACATATATATCAATAGCATACTCTATGTGTGTGTGCGCGTGTGTGTGCACACATATATATAAACAGCATATTCTCTCTATATGTGTGTGTGCGTGTGTTTATACACACACACACATATAGATACACATTACACACACACCACACACACACACACACACACACACACATATACCTATACACATACACACCCTGTCTGCATGCATACAACGCATCTTGTCCAGCACTGGGCAGCTGAACCACGGCCTCCCTTTGTATCCGATTCACCGTGGTGGCAAACATTGCTCCCAAGCCTGGAAGTGGGGGTGTCAGGCACACCCCAAAGGCCAGCCTAGACTTCCTTCGGAAGGAAGAGAGCCAAAAACACCTGCAGTCTGGAATTTGGATTTATTAGGGCACCATTTTCCCCACCCGCCTAAGATGGGGAGGAGGGGCTCGGGAATCTTTTGTAAGAATCTTTTGTCCGGTCTCTTCACCTCCTCCTCCTCCTCCTCCTCCTCCTCTTCCTCCTTACAGTCAGAAAAAGAACCCCCCCTGGGAGGGAAGAGGGGGGTGGGCAGGGAGAGAACCCATAAGGTTGCTGGTGGGGGGTAAGGGGGAGATTTAAAAAAAAAGGGGGTGGGTGAGGAGGACCAACTAAAGAGACAGTATGATCTTCCTGGGGGTGGTCCAAGCAAGGATCTCAGGGGCTGATGAAAGGGGGATGTGTGGGGAAGGAGAGAAGGACGAAGGGATCTCCAGGGTGGGTTGGGAGTGGGGGGGGCACACACACACACCCCTCCCCTGCCCCCTCACAGCCGGGACCACCCGCAGAAGGGGGCAAAGGCTGAGATAGCAGCTTGAGAAGCCGGGCACGGCCATGGAGGCCCAGGCCAGAACATGGGGGGGCACCTCAGATCGGTTCTGCACCCCTTCCCCTCCTCCTCTCCCTTCTTCCAAGGAAATTTCTCCCCACCACCACCCAAAAACCTCCCTCCCCCCCTGCAGACTCACCTCCTTGGTGCTAAGGTTGCCTTTCACGTATTTGCCCCAACACCATTCAGGCAGCAGCATCAAGAGCAGGAGCTGCAGCCTCCGAGCCCCAGGGAGCTGTCGCAGAGGCTGGGACGGCTCCATCCTCAACCCTCCTCCGGCCAGCTCTCCGCTGGCTGGGCTCCCTTTCCTTGCGCGCTCCCGTTTAAAGGGATACGATCTCCGTTTCCCACCCACCCGCCCGCCCCCTTCTCTCCCCCTTTCTCAGCCCGAGCCTGACTGGGAGACGGAGGCGCTACGTAGACCAGGAGCAAAAAAACCCAAACCCCCCCCCCCCGCTTGCTATCCATCCCCACCAACAACCCACTTCTCTCCTTTGGGTGGGAAGGGAGAAAGAGAGGGCAGGTCCTGTGTAGGACTTCCTAACCTAACAGATAATCAGAGTGGGAAGGGGCCTTGCAGGTCATCTAGTCTAACCCCTTGCCCGAACAGGAGATCCTGCACCATTTCTGACGTGTGGCAGCCCAATCTCTTCTCGAAAGCCTCCAGTGATGAAGCTCCCACAACTTCCGAAGGCAACTTCTGTTCCGTGGGTTTGTTGGAAGAAAAATCGTTCCAGGTTCAGGTGCAAGTGGGGAGAAGGACATTGGAAACATGGAAGCTGTTTGGAAGGAGGACCACAGTGGCTTGAAGCTCCAGAGTGAAAAGGAAGGATGATCACATGCTTCAAGATGAAGGAAAAGCTCAAGAAGTGCTTTTGAGCAATTGCTATAGCTTTACCTGGAGATCTTTGTTATGTAAAGCATTCTGGCCCAGGCCTTAATGGCCCACCCATTAACAAAGGTGGGGGTGAGCTTCTACTTCTGAGGTGAGTTTCTACTTCTGAGTTTCTACTCTTTTTTTTAGAGGAAATATTCTGCCTTTTTAATATTTCCTAGGATATTTCGATTTTCTAGGAGAGGGGTGGGTGCTAACTTCCTACAGTTTCATTGTTCTCCCTGTCAGAAAGTTCCTCCTTATTTCCAGGTTGAATCTCTCCTTGTTCAGTTTCTATCCATTATTCCTTGTCTGGCCTTCAGATGCTTTGGGAAATAGCTTGACCCCCTCCCTCCTCTCTGGGGCAGCCCCTCAAATATTGGAAGGCTGCTATCCTGTCTCCCCTGGTCCTTCTCTTCCCTAGACTAGCCAGGCCCAGTTCCTGCAACCGTTCGTTGTATGTTTTAGCCTCCAGTCTCCTCATCATCCTGGTTGCTCTTCTCTGCACACTTTCTGGAGTCTCAACATCTTTTTTATAATGTGGTGACCAAAACTGGATGCAGTACTCTAGAGGTGGCCTTTCTAAGGCTTTATTATCCTCTCCATTGCATTTTTTTTTTTTTGGTGGTGGGGGGAAATGAGATAACAGGGATGAACGAGCCTTCACCAAGGAGCCAGGCTGTCTTGCCCGTCGAGTTTACAGACAAACCTGAATTACACAGTCGTAAGCGTGAGGATGGGTCATAAGTCCCTTTTTCGATCACCTGCGAAGTGGTTATAAGTAGAAGACTACCTGTGCTCCTCCAGGGTCAATGGCTGTCCCTGTATCCTTTCCCAGGGTGGGGGAAAAAAATTACGGACAATGCAAAGGTGGGGATGAGTTTGTTTCTCTGAGTTTTATTTATGGAGTTTTTGAGCTGATCAACTTTTACTGATCTGAGTTCTGTTTATTGACGTGAATGTTTATACAGCCTCCTGCCTTATAACCAACTCCCAGCTTCCAATCTAAAGTAAAACAACATAAAAAAGACACAATAAAAGTATAAACTGAGCACGTTGTCCTATCCTATCCTTCAGTGACATTGTAGAGACCCTAAGCCAGGGATCCCATCCTATCAAGCAAAGTGAATCTAATTCTTATAACTTTGGATGAGCCTCCATATGGCAGGGCAGTTTTCCTCCCTTATTACGTTGAGCTTGATGTGCCCAAACTTGAAGATAAGTGGACTTCAGCTCCCAAAATTCCCCAGCCAGCATCCCTGCACTATATTTTAAAGTGGACATGGTTGAGAAATACGGCTTTAGCCTAAGGGAAGAATAATTCCTCATATGTGGCAAAATCAGCCGGTGCATTCAGACAATTCTGAGTTTAGTTGTTGTACCTTTTCTCTGCAGTACAGTAATTTCAACAATCACTCAGAATAATGCTGGAAGGGACCTGGGAGGTCTTCTAGTCCAACCCCCTCTTCGAGCAGGAGACCCTATACCATTTGAGACAAATGGCTGTCCAGTCTCTTCTTAAAAACCTCCAGTGTTTGAGCACCCACAACTTCAAACTGATTGATTGTTCTCAGTAGGCTCTCCTGCTTAGGCAGGGGGTTGGACTAGATGACCTACAAGGTCCCTTCCAACTCTGATTATCTGTTATCTGTTAGGAAGTTTCTCCTTAATTCCAGGTTGCTTCTCTCCTTGATTAGTTTCCATTCATTTCTACTTATCCTGCCTTCAGGGACTTTGGAAAAATCATGTTTAAATTTACTGTATTTCCCCTGTATGCCTCGATTTGCATTTCTAGAACTTCCATATCATTTGCATTTTAATTATCAGATCGGTGGCGTCGGCAGAGCAGATATCGTTGTTGTTTCTTCCTCCAAGTTTAAAACCATGCTCATCTTCTCAAAGTCCAGCCTCTCCCAATATATATTCAGCATACCGCTTGAATAAATTTGGAAAGAATAGAGAGGCCCATGTCTGTCCTTTGTCAAATCTGGGGCCATCGTGGTTTTGCCATTTTTCCATCTGGATTATGGCTTTCTGTGTCGTGGACAGATGGAATATGGCAAAACCAATATGTTCTGGAATATTCATTCTTCTAGACAGTCTGTAGTTTAATTAATATGATCGATAAAAATCAAACTATTTTTACAATCGGTGGAAATGTATTGGGTTTCGCCCCCCTCTTGTTATTCGTTCGCTTTCTCAGTTATCCAATGCATTAAGCAATGACGTCCCTTGTTCTTTTGTTAGACGGTTCAAAGGGTTATTTTTCTAGCCCGTGAAATTAAGGATAGTTGTGCAACAGTTTGAACATTCTGTTTAGTTTCGTTTCTTTGAGCTAATGTTTCGATTGATGTTTTCCAATCTGTTTACTACTATTTCATTGACTAAATTTGCTGGTATGGTTTGGGGAGAATCTTTGCCACTTCTCCTTTTGTGGCTTGCCATGTCTCTATAGCTATTCCATTAATTCTGACTTGGTAATGACCAGAGTACTGATCTCATTCTCCTAATGCAGGAAATTAGGGTAAATACAGAATATCTTCTAATATTTTATAATCAAAGAGCAAACCCCACTCCCTTTTGGAACTGATGAAGTTACCTAGTATGATAATGAAATGTCTGCAACCAAGCAAAGAGAGGACTCCACTCTCTTTCACCTCCTCCCCTTCCTCTTCCTCCTCCTCCTCTTCCTCCTCCTCCTCTTCTCCCCTTCTAGCACTGATGGTTACCTAGTTTGGTAATGAAATGCCTGCAAGTAAACAACCAAGCTCAGAGAGCACTTAGGACTCCTTTATCCAGTGGGTCAGCTCCTGGGGTATCTTCCAGGCTAGAGTACAGAGTTCAACACCAAAGCTGTCCACATGCCAACTCAAGGTAGAAGGCTATCTTTTCTTACAACGGCCACGCCAGGCCTCTCGTCCCAATTAGGAACCTCAACATCTGCAGAAATGCTGTCACTCCCGAACTTCCTATTATCACATCCCTATTCTGTATTCTCAAATCAGTTGAATGATTGAATCAGGGAGGGACTTCTCCATTTGATTTTCTGAGAATGGTGACTCTTTTGAGTTCTGTTGCAAAAAGTTAAAATGCTGCTAGCCCCATCCTTTGAAACCTGCAGCACATCTAGAATGACATTACCCTCATACGTTTTTTTGCTCGGTGAAGTGAAAAAGTAAAATACAGTGCATGCTGGAAATTCTAGAACAGAAAGGGGGAGGTTTTTTGGCGGGGGGGGGGAAGAGGGTTGTTGTAGAGTTGTAATTGCAGGAATGTTCCAATCTCGGATGGCAAACCTCAGATAAAGAATGTTTCCAAGCAAATACAACTCAGGTAAACAAAGTCACTAATCTAAAGGAGGATTAGAGAGAGGAAGTGAACATATGTTAGACTTTAACTAGAGATAATTAATTGTATGGATGACTGTGCTAAACAGTAATGAAAGTTAAGCAGTAATCAAAGTTAACCAGTGATGGAGGATAACTAAAAATGTATATAAATACAAGACTATACTCCAATAAAGATCATCATGATTCAGTTGTTCATGATCAAACAACTCGACTGCCTCGTCATTACAACAGGTTGTTTCGTTAAAACCAAATCATGTTTTGGGAAAATAGATCTACCTCGTGACCCAACGGTAGCCAGCCAAGCTTCATTCGCTAAGCACCCTTAGTATCTGAAGCCATATGAGTGTTATCCAATTCCATTAATGGAGTAAAACTGAGATTAAAAAGATCAACCAATTGATCTCTTCTTATTTAAAAGTGGGGCAGGAGATACCATGCAAGTATCTCTTGGATGCTGTAAAATCCATTTAGATAGTCTGACTTGGTAACCATGCTTTTAACTGTCACCTTTTGCAAACTTCTGACACTCAGAATATTGTATCCAGTTTTGGTCAGTATATTATAAAAATGAGGTTGAGATTCTTGAAAGAATGCAGAGAGGAGGAACAAAGATTATTAGGGGGCTGGAGACTAAAACATATGAAGAACAGTTGCAGGAACTGGGTATGTTTAGTCTAGTGAAGAGAAGGACCAGGGGAGACATGATAGCAGGGTTCCAATATCTCAGGGGCTGCCCCAAAGAAGAGGGAGTCAAGCTATTCTCCAAAGCACCAGAAGGACAAGAAGCAAAGGATGGAAACTCATCAAGGAGAGAAGCAACTTAGAACTAAGAAATTTCCTGACCGTTAGAACAATTAACCAGTGGAACTGCTTGCCTCCAGAAGTTGTAAATGCTCCAATACTGGAAGTTTTTAAAAAGAGGTTGGATAACCATTTGTCTGAAGTGGTGTAGGGTTTCCTGCCTAGGCAGAGGGTTGGACTAGAAGACCTCCAAGGTCCCTTCCAACTATTCTGTTCTGTTCGGACAAGCAAAGTCAT